AGCTATTCTTGCTGAAATAGACATTTTGAGATATACGTAGTCAAACCAAACAAAAATAATCTTTTTTAACAAGAAAAGAATAAAATATCCACCCACTAAGCCAAAAATGTCTACTGTATGGCATTAACTACTCATTGTCTAGACTCCATCAACGATCTTAATCATTAATTGAAGGACTATAACAAGAACAACGACAAACAAAACCTCAAATATTATTAGTACAACAACCATAGCAGTGTCAACTGATAGTAATAAACATGCAATCTATTTATTTCCATGTTGTTTTATAGTTCTAGGATTATGGTCAATAAACTATTGTTCCCAGTGAACAAGTTCAACTGCAAAAACTTAGAAACATACTCAATGGTCTATTTAAACGATGTTATTGATATTAAACATGCAGATATGGTTTACTCATTAATCTTGATTGGGTATATATTTCACAATACAGTTTTTTAACGCATAAAATTGTCTGATAAAGACCAAAAAACAGTTAAGTGTGAAACACTACATTTTCATAAATATATTTCACAAAACTTTTGCTATATACAGAAAAGTGAAAAACGTTTTCATGAAAGAAAAAACTGTAATAATGCTATGACTTTGATCGATGGTATACCGGAGAATATGGCCTAAAAGTAGCAACATAGAGCATGTTCTTAGATCACTCTTGATAAACAAATACAACTGTCCACGAGTATCTTCAAATTTATTAACTATCATCCTTCTAGGCGCTGGTTTTTTGTTTTTGACATTTGGACGGATTTACTTTCAAGGAATTTAGCAGATTCATTTAATTAATTGCAAATACTTGAATCCGACGGTAGTACTTATTCATACCCTGGTCCTCTCTTTTTTCGCTAAATGTTACAAATAGATAGTTTTATCTAATATGTTTTAGGTACAGTTTCTGTTGTTAGTGTTATTCGATGGTAATAATGAAATTATTGGTAAATGTCCTAAAACGAAAGAAAGAATATGTGTAAAATTACGATTCTAATGTTTTCAATGGAAGAGGAGAGCAGGCCTGTTAATTAAAACTTTTTCCATCTGTGGGCGGCTTAACGAGTAAGAGATAAAAGCTGTATTCTTAAACTTACTTGTTGTAGAAAGTTCAGACGATGTTGGCAAAAATAACTTGATTTTTTTTCTTGTTTTGTTGAACAGATCTATGTTTTTCCCAACAACTTCCTCGCCGGTACATTCCTCTAAAAACAGAGACAAATGCAAATAATACTCTGCAGTTGAACTTCTACTAGCAGCTTCGATCACTTACCATCATCTCCAGAAGGTTCTACATTTGCTAAACAAACTCATTTTTGTTTCGATGGTGATTTGGTATTCACAATAATACTTTCTTCAGCTAAAAGAATAAAAGAACAAAATCAGCACATTCGTCTTACGAAAGAGATTCAGAAAATATATTACCTTTTTCTACTATTATTACATCAAACGGCAGTTCTATGTTTTCATTATTTGGTAATGTATGTGTTTTGGGTAGTTCTAAACGAGCAATTTTTGCTGGTGCTGATGATTCAATCTCCATATTATTCGTAATGTTTTGCAATGGTCCTAAATAAAGAAAAAGAATCGAAATTATTATTACGATAACTAAAGCAAAAACTACCAGCTTACGCTTGAGGTTTCTTGCTAATAGTGGTATTATAACCGGTTGTGGTTATTTTCTTATTTTAATCGTTTGATTTTCTTTTTCGCGGCTATTGGCAGAAGGTGGTCGTCGCAGTAGAACATGTGACGGAAATGATGTATTTTTCACTTCCATTTGAACTAAAAATAAATTAACAGCAAAAAGAAAAGTAATTAACATAACATCCCATGCAAAGGCAGAGAGAAACAAAGATACCCTGCTTTAGGTCAAAATATGTGTGTCTTGTAATATAATCAGATGGAGCCGGATGAACATTTGAATCTACAAAGAGAGAAAGAAGAAAGTAAATACATTAGAAAAAGAAGAGATACAGATAAGACGAGAACATACTATTCACACTAATATCGGTTAAATATGGGTTGTTATTCTGATAATATTTTATTTCATTTAATAATTTGATGGTTCGCCCATTAACTTTCTCTTTAATTCTGTTGATGAACTTTTTTGTTGTATTTAAATATGTTTCAATATCAGTGATACCAAACTTAATCAATTTGACTTGAAATTGCAGACTAATATTATCTGATATTATTTTAATATACCCATCCGTCTCGTCATTGCAACAGCCATGAAACATTTGGTCTGTATACATTAATACACATTCATCAACTAATAGATACAAGATTTCGTCTCTATCTTCTTGTGATACTCCTGGTGTTGCAGAGATGACTGATAATGTATCAAAAATGCTTGATTCAATACTTAATATTAGTCGACCAATACGTTTAATTGTTGATGATGGTAGTGGTGGTAGATCGTTACATGATGGTTGATCAACGGATGTTAAGAAGACACGCGTATAAGAAGAACGCACAAAAAGGCTCACTGAATTAAAAAAATGAAACTATTTTTTGAAATTAGAAAGTGGCAATAAGAGAGATACTGTAGAAAATTTTTGCAGAATAACACAATATTCTTCATTTAGAAGTAAAGTTTATTTTGATTAAACAGACAACGTAACATTTTCTTCTAAAATTTTTAATTGTAGAATAGACTAAAACAAACAAAGAAAAAGGAAACATTAGATTAATAGCTTAAAACCCTTTCATTTGAAGCCCAGCTCATGTTTCTTCGATAGGGACTACAGTTAGGAGACGTTTGACACGTTAAGCAAATCCACTGGAAAATGACAAAAATTGCAATTTTCTGCTGGAAGAGTAAAGTTTCAGTAACTTTTTTTGTAAGTAACTTGGAGACTTGCGCGTTTCGCCATTCGCTTCAGCTCGCCGAGATCGTATGAGTTAGGTCTGTCCACTGGCGTCAACACTTTTGTACATCATGGTAGGTTTCACATGGATTTAAGCTTATTTTTTAATAATCTAATTTTTCTCAACTTTGAGATAAATTTTCTCAGCGATAAAGCATCAGCCCAAAATAAATGTTTCAGGATTTTGAAGTAATCACTAGTAATCACTATATACCCCATGTAAATATTTTCGGTTCTAGACGCGTTTAAGTCGCTCAAATATGCATCCTTTTGGTGTGTCTAGACGCGTTTTATACTGACGCATTTAAACGAGTTTCTTTTTGAATGAATTTTTGTTTTTAAAAAAGCTTTTTTGTCCTTGGATAAGATTCCGAGCCAAGATCTCATTTTCCTTTAGTCAGCTGAGATTATATATAAGTGAGAATAGCTTTACTTATGAGAAAGAAAGTTGATGCCGTCAGCGAGATTCGAACCTGGTACCTATGAACAGAAAGACAAATTACAAAGCAAAGTACTTATCCACTCAGCCAAATGAGCGTACTGTTTGCTCTGCATTTTGTCGATCTGAACGTTACATGAGCGAAGGACAATAAAAACATGTTCATTTTCAAAAAAAAAGCTTTTCTTCTGATCGAAGAGAAATGCCGCAGCACATAGTGTTAAATAAACATTTTGCAATACGTAGTATTACATTATTAGATTTGTTGCCGAGCAGCTAAATGTTAATTATTTATTATCATACGAAAAACTGTGAGTTAAGTAAGTCATCATCTTGGCAAACTTTTGATTTAAAACATTGCTCGCTTTCATTGCAAGTTGTCAGATTTAGACAGTACTTAAATAGTGATATACTTTAGTATCTCTAAAAAAAAAGTTTTTCATCGGCTCATTGTAACTTGAGCAAAAATTCGTATGGCTTTATTATTTGATAAAGCGATAAACTTACAGGGTGCTTCTGTTTTCTAAATTCGCTGTGTTATAATGCAATGAAAAAATTCTTCTTCGTTCGCGTCGACACAGTTTCCCGAAGACAATTTAACTATCTACAAAAACACAAAGCCCGACTTGACACGCCAAAATAACAAAAAATACTGCGTATAAAACGAAACGCTTCTGAATGCGTCAGTATAAAACGTGCCGTTTTAAAGAAACTATTCGTTTTTCTCGACTTATTTAAAGTTGAAAGTCGATTTTCTGTATGAAGATCAAAGTTTTCTCAACTGCAAACAGACGAGAACGGTTTTTTAGAAGTCCTTTGGGAACTAAAGACGTAAAAACTCTCTAGAAAGATACTAATGCCACCCTGAAATGGAGAATTTCTGACTTTAGACATTCTCGTCCTTGCAAATGCGAAAACCAACCTCGGAGCTCAACATTTCGAGAGTCGTTCTATATGGGAATATTTATAAAATCTTGTTTATATATCCTTTTGAAGCGCAGAAAATTCTGTATCTTCCTATATGTAAGTTCCTATTAAGTTAAGATAGTAGAAAAACTTATCTTTGTTCAAGTGTTGTCAGGTGATAGATTACGGTACGTAACTTTTAGAGCGCTTCACAGTCATTTGCTGCGAGCTCCATTCAAGGACCTCAAAATCGTAAAAGTTTTTGAACAAAATTGTTGTTTTATTTCGGTTTACTGTGAGAGGACGAAAAACATAAGCCCCAGTGCCAAGAGACTTCCGTGCTGTACAGATGAATTATAGACTACGAGGTGCGTGTTTTATTTGATATTCATTAATTGCGTTGACATAGCATGAGTAATACTAACATTTTCTTTCTACAAAGATAAAATTGAAAACGTGCCGACGCTTTATAATACTTTAAGTAAGCAAATATCAGTCATAGATACTCCTTTATTGTTATTTATATTAAATTAGAAAACTTGTTCGAATTTTGTACACTGTATTATTACTATAATTTTAGGAACGTGTGTAATTGTAATTAAAGCTAAATAATAATATAAATATGTATATTTATCAGCGATGAAGGTAGAAAGGATAAGAATGAGTAAATTGGACACATGTACCTATGTAAATGCGGCCAGTAAAATATTTTTGCATAGAAGTAAGCAAAACATTTTTTCTATGAATACTTAATCTTTAAAGTTTATTGGCCAAATTTTTATGCAGTGGCCAGTATTAAAGGGTACCACAAAACTGATGCAATCCAATCCCTTTGTTTATAGACCATTTTACGATAGCAATCGTATACGAAATATCTCTTGAGTGGTGTAAACTGTTTTTCTTATTGTATTTTTTCAGTATAACGAGACTTCTGTTACATTAATCAGCTTCACTGCATTTGCAAGAAAAAGAATAAGACGACTTAGATTAGAGAAAACAAACAAAACAAACAAACAACAAAAAAATCTTTACATAAAATATTTTAAAAGGAAGACAATCAACAACAAAAATACAGATAAAGAGAATAATTTGAGGTTCAAACCAACAAAAATGTGCGTGTATATATGTGTCTATTCAAGAGTGCATCTGACAAATAGTATAATTTTACTTCTTTGCTTGAACAGTATCGTGAAGTCGAAAAAGCAGATGAGAAATTGCGCCAGACTAGTATGTAGATATATATCTCATTTTACACATCTACATGATGGTTTAAGTAACATTAAACGGCGAAAGTAAATCACATATTTCTTTATTTTCAAGAAGAATGCGAATAAATTCATCCGACGTAATACGATCACGATGGCTCGCATCTTTATCTTCGTTTAGCTTTTCTAAAGCAGTACGTAATTCTTCAACAATTCGTTCCGTGTTGTCATCATGTTTACCATGCAACGATGTTGCTATCTATTGTTGGAATAAAAAAGGGAACCACAAAATTGTAAATAAATCTCTGGGATAATCTAGTTTTTATGTTACAGCTTTTAAGACTACGAAAAACTAGCCTCCTAGTTAGTACATAAAACATCTGAATCTATCAGATTGCCTGTCTATCCACATGAGAAATTCAAGATGGACTAACTATAAAAGAAACGGTCTAGCTAACCGAAACTTATGGACCAGAGGCAACTACACATGGAGAATCTGGTAATCCTTATCGAGAACTTCCAGGAGATCTTTACAAGGTACCAAAAAACTTCTGAGGCTTCTATTGATTTTTTAATTGAATCTAATGTAAAAAAGTCAAGATTGAGCATTGTATTCGTCACCTAAGGATCTCTAGAAAACTTTTGGATTTCAACTGTTTTCTTTTTGAAATCTTCAGTGTAAAATGGAGAGTGGACGTGTTTTCCAACGTGTAGGGATCTGTTATCCGGCTACACGACATTTGGCGACTGGCTTCGAGACGAGCAAATCGAACCGAAGAATCAAACGTTATTCCTATATAGATACGGTATATTGCAGATACCTGCCTGCTTCATTAACTACTTATATATGTAAAATAGACGATCATTGTGATTTAATGTCAAGGGTCCGAGTAAATCAAAGGCGAACGTTGCTTGTACTCTTAACGCTTACCTTGACCATTCGATCAATTTCTTTCTTATTAATCACACCATCGTTATCGCGATCGTATGTTCGAAATACATATTTCAATCGTTCTTCTAAACTACCACTTGATGTTAACGCAAATCCAATAAGAAATTCACGCCAATCTAAAGTCAACAAATATGAATAGAAAAAATTAAACGAAGTTATCGTACGTGACTACCTACCAACTTTCCCATCATTATTTTCATCGAATGATCGATGAATTTCGTCAGCTAGCTTATCAATGGTCTCTTCTTTATCTTTTTCATGAACAATTGCTTTCAGAAACCGTTTTGTATCGGCTTTTTCAATAGAACCTTTTGGACATGCTGCCTATATGAAGAACACCGACATACACTTTATATGTCTCCAGTAATGTGCTAACCTTTAACTTTTCGTACCATTCTTCAACTGATTCAGGATCAAGTTTAGATTTCTGTGAAATAAAATCGATATCTTCTTTACTTAATTCAACAGGTTTGACCGATTTTGATCCCATCTGTTTTAATTTTTTCTTCTCTCTCTCTTTTCTTATAATATCAACTAGAACAAGACAAAAAACAGCAATGTCACATATTGTCTAGAGCATTGTTTTCTCTTGTACAACATGACAACTATAAAGTTTTCTTTTTTGTTTTGACTCGGATACACGGTTGTAAATAATCAAAAATTTTATTCTTTACTTTATTATTTAATGATAGGTAGTCTATCCAGATCCTTCCAAGAGAAAAACGGAAAACGGCCACTTTTTCTATTATCAAAATTCGAAAAAATATGATGTACAATTAACTGATAACCAGACGTACAACGCTCACTTTTATTTATTAATCATCATGCCTTTAATCCGATGCTATCTCCAAACGGCATGTGAGCAACCAAAAACAATATAATAAATTTACATCAACTTTAACTGATTATTTGGAACAGTGCGTTTATATATATTCGTGGAAGCATCATTATCGTCCAAAGAACGTGCTTGAACTGCTTTCCCTTGACTTTGGTCTAGGGTCTTACAAAATGGTTGTCTGTCTGTATGTCTGTGTATGCGCAAAATACGGAAAAATGGCTGTCCGATATTCTATGGATAAACGAATCGCAAAAGACAACAGTAGAAAAAAATTTTTTACATAAGATAGAAAATATTCAAAGAGATCTTCTAAAATATTTACTGATGTGAAGAGGTGACAGCTAAGCTACCGTTTCCTGTGCCGGGGGTAGATGACGCTAGATAGCAGTCAACTGTCACAATACAAAAAAGTGGTCTACGGGTAATAAAATTGACAGTGTATAGATAATCTATTATAACAAATCGATTAGAAATACTTCCAACCTCCTTGGGATCTGCAGAAAAGCTTTTAGCTTTATATTACATTAGATGGTTTTTTGGTGGATTCAGAGAAGTTCATAACGTTTCTCATCTATACTGGTTGCAAACGCCGACAGAAGGGAAGCGTGAGCATCGTTTTGAATTCAGAATTATGTTTGGACCTCTAGAGATTCTTGATTTATATATTAATGTCAGAGTACGAACCTCATACATAAAAAACGAACAAAAATCCAGAAGATGCCTTAGTTAGGCCCCCAGCGAGCGCCGAACGAAGGGAGGCGTGTGCATTGCGTTCGATTTAAAAGTCACCAAAGGGCGTTCGCTTGCGCAGATCCAACTTAATAAAGTCAAGGGACCGAGCGAGTGGAGACGAGCGTTACCTTGTTATCTACTTTATAGAATATTAGAAACTGGAATCAAGAAAGGAACCTGTCGAAAACGACAGTTACTTATTTTCTTGGTTTAGTCCAGTCATACAGAAAACGAGTTAGATGTAGATTCCTGACTACGAAAGGGAGATATGGTGATGGGTAAATCTTGGAACACCCTCTAAAATGTAAGAATTATCATACTGCACAATAAACAATGACCAACAAGAATAAGAAAAACATTAACAACTTTTTAGAGGTAACAAAGAGCTAAATATACTTTCTTCTTTTTGAGAGAAAATAGATGACGCTAGTACAGGGCACGATGGATATCATTTGAATACTCAGTTAGCCAAGGTTGTAGTACTGCAGATGACAGACATTGGATTTTCGAAGATTATTTGTTGGAGTTTTAACTTAAATGTTGGATTGACAAACGAGCCAACTTCAAGAAGATCTCATCCGGTGACTGATATTGATTGCTGCAACAGAAATGTACCAGGTGTTTCGGAGCTCAGATCCAAAACACGAAAATCAGAAAAATCCGGAGAAAAAGTAGAAAATCAGTAGACCTTAGGGCAAAAAAGAGCAGAAACGAGGCAGAAAAAGTTCCCCAAATCAGAATTTTTCTGCCAAAATCAGAAGATCTGGGATCCCTGCTCTCGGTACCTGTGACCCACTACCCAGTCCATTTCATTGGGCCATATTTTAAACAAGCACCTGGGCCACACAAGTCATCTCTCATTCCTCCTTTTTCTATCTGTATAATAGAAACATAAATTTTTTCCTTTTTTGTATAACAGGAATTATATCTTTGCATCATCGCACAATAAAACGGTCAATGGAATTACCACGAGACCCCCACCGCCACTTTGCTCAATATTGCTGATGTAAGAGAAAAGCGCGATCGCGGCGATTTACTAAAAAACTAAGTTGACGCCGCGAATGAACCATGGAAGTTGACTTGGATAAAATAATGCGAAGAAAAGAAAGGTTTAGAAACTGTAATCGAGTAACAAGAGAAGAAATAGGAATACGATAGTCAATATTATGATAAATAGCAAGTGTGTTTACCGAATCGGGAACAGTAAGATAAAACGAACTATCATAAAGACCACAATAATAGTCAAACTTTGGAACCTTGAATTTTTGATAATATTCAATCAACGATTTTAACAATGGATGGTCATCAATAAGTCATTTATGTCTGATAAATTTTTATCTGCTGATGTTATTGATTCTATTCCTTGTTTAACTTTCGTTTGAAATAAATTCATGACGTATCGATAGTTAGGTGTGGCACCCTTCTTGATTACAAATGCTCCACTGTCAAACGAAAACCAATTTTCTCTGTATTTCAGGTACTTGATCATATTGATAAGCGAAAATTGACAGTAAAGCCTTTGTACGTAATAATGACTGAACAGGAGTAACAACTTGAACTTTCAAAATATCCACAACTAAATCGCCAGCTAATTCTTGAACTAATTTATAAAAGGTATCATCTTTGTAATTGAGTATGTATGTCATCAAATAAAATAGATGTCTTTCGGATCTGCGTCTTTCTCAAAAATAACCTTCTTTAAGTCATCATTAAGGACTTCAGTTGCTGGTATTACTATTTCACGAAGAAATTGTGTACATATTCTTTACTTTTTAATGAAAAATAACTTTTTAAAAACATATTATTTGATTTGTTGTATCAATGACGGTTCTTGTCACTGTTTAATTAACACTTAATAGAAGAGCGACAAACGTAATTTAAAATAGGTTTATACGAAATGAGTTAGGCTCCAAATCCGCGTATATTTTATTATTATGAGTCAATCTATGGAAGGAAGGATATATATACTCTTCCATTTTCGTCCCTGTCGTGTGTTTCCTGTTTACAGCTTGTCCACGTAACGCGACACTTCGCTGATCAAGTATTTTTTTCGAAACTGAACAAAACCATTAGTGTCACGTTGTAGAGCGCATCCGATAGTGTCACACAGTGGGCATCCAGGCGGAAGTTAGGCGGAAATGTCGATTACTTATTTTTTCAAAAATGAATAGTGCAAAATGTAGGCCTTGAAATTCTCTATCGAATGGTGTATGACTGC